TTATGCGAAACAGAGACTGCCTTACAAGTAAGAATGCTCTCTTGTCGAAAGAGAAATTTTTATAAAAGGAAGCGTAAACAGGGAACACGATCAACGAGGTTGGTGAAGTCGTCATCCCCAATCTGTTAGCTGTGCATATTATGCTGACTCATTCATTATAGAATTGTGATTGGCCACTGGACATTAAAGCAATATCGTTTTGGATACGATTGTAGATACAATTGGGAGGATAGAAACTAAGATGTAATAGAAACATCCAGACGTTGACTGCAAATTGTACGTGGATGGTATGCAGCACGAGGAACAGGTAATCTCCTACTCAAATAGTTTTGTACTGTTAATTGTGTATTCACCACTGCCGTAGGTAAGAATGATAGCCCCTATCTACCTTATGAATGACCTTCTTTCCTCATCAACACCCATGTATCCAATGCTAGATATTTTTGTAAATACTGTTAAGAAGCACCATGGAATCTAACTGTACAGAGAATCCCGAAACTGTCTTGCTTGAAACGCCAACCCTATGCAAATAGTTAGGATAGAAAGAAAAATAACCGCCCCTCCCATCAACTCTGTAAAGCGTAACAGAATTGGCACATCAGAGTATCACACACCGTCCTGCATCTTCACGCACTGGATAAACCTCATCTGCATCCTAAGCATCCTTATCGAGCTCGTAAAATAGCAGATACACCTCTCTCTGCATGCCCAAGACTTCGCTGGTCTTTGCCTCCTTGACCTTTTCGTCGTTGACACGCCACCATTTGTCTGTTGCTGACTTTCGTTTCCTTGATCTTTTTGCGACGTTTGATGTCACAGACTTGGGTGGTGATGAACTGCTATTTGTTTGCTTGGGAGATGTAAGCTTGGAGAGAGCTGACTTTGTGGAGGCGGCCACAGAACGAAGACTGCTGGTTTCCGGATCCTTCTGTTTGCCAATTGCTGGCAAGCTCACCGAGCCTCGTAGGTCTGAAGGGACACTCCTAGGCGGAACTGGTAGAAATTCTAGAGAAGGCGTCGAGTCACCAGACGAGCCTGAGAGGAGGTCAGGAGTAGAGATTGCCGGACTGTGCGTCGGTCTTCCTCCCATAATAGGGGTGCCTATGGGTGTCGGTGTTTTGCTAAAAGCTTCCGATGGTTGGAAGGTGTTCGGGTTTGAGAAGGGTGCGGCAACGTTCTGTCGGCGGAATGCTTCGTAATGGCCACTGTTGTGTCCGCCACGGTGAGTAACCAGCCCGAGCAGCTTATATCTCTTTTGATCCATCAAACCACCGAGAGGCAGCTGTTCGGGAAAGACCACCTTGGCCGAGTTCTTCTGTGTTATTTGGCCCACATCGTAGATGGAGCGGGAGAGGTGAATGGCCAAAATCTTTGGAAATATGGACATTCGAGTGGTCTTTGCGATCCTTCTCTTGGGCGCAAAACGAATATCGCCAAGCTCGACATCCTCCGGGGGATTCTCAGGATCTGTGTCAATGGCATGCTGGAGCTTATCGATGCTTTCCTGGGCTTGCGCCTTGAAACTCTCGGACGTGGACTTGGCCAGCTCGGCCTCTAAATCTGCCTTTGTCTGCATCAATCGACACATTTCACATTTGAAATCATCAATGTACTCGGTTTTGAAGATGCCATCAAAGCACGCATTCAACGTCGTGCCTGAGACCTGAGGCACAGCCAAAGTTATAGTACAGAAAGTCTCTTCCCTGGGCTTAGTCTTGTAGCGACAAGACTGGCATTCGAGATGCGACTCATACTTTCCTTCCATTGGGAAGCCCTCTTCAATTTCTATGGGCAATTGGCCATTGTCCTGGGGAATCTCCGTTTCCTCGGATGGCTCGATAGCAGAGTCGTTATCGCCATTGGTAGTGGGCTGCTGCTCAGGTGAGGATTCGTCGCCGTCCTTACCATTGTCTTGACTATCCAGCGTGTTCTCGACACTCGGTGTGCTTTGGGTAGGAAACAGACCGCGTCTCCGCATGTGTAGTCTTGCTCGTTGTCCACAATGATACTCGTCCTTGAGGCGCTCAGCCACAATTTGGAGAAACTCTTGCGCATCTTGTTGTTGGCGGCTGATCCTTTGCTTGAATGCCGCCTCCAAAACCTTGACAAACTGGAACGGCGATATGGACTTCTTGTAGATTGGGCGCTCATTAAGCGCATCCAGCATCTCTTTCAGTCCTTGTGTGACTAGTCCTTCTTGCAAGCCCTGTAGCTTCCATTGGGCAATCTGCTTGCCCTCTGGCTGGACAAGGCTAGCATAGACTGCAGGATCTTCGATACGGCGGCGGTGCGTTTCGCGAATCAGATATATGCGCAACTCTCCTAAGCCGGCAAGGGCTTGGAGGACCGAGTTGATAAAGCAGTCATTGGCTTGGTTTCTCAAACCGACTATAGACTTTTTCTTGGAGCTCGTAGCGTCGTGGTCGATGGAGAAGTTTGGTGCGAAAACATATATGAGCGCTGCGGCAGCGAGAGAGGCACCAGCAGCGTAGGACACTACTGAGGCCGACTTCTCGGGCATTTTCAACGGTGGCCGACAAAGGGTTCGGAAGGGTCGGGATTGAGAATCCGGGGGCAGAGGAACGATTAAGTATACGCTCGTGTCGGACAGATTAAACGGTCAAACGGTCACAACAGGGTGTGGCTTGCGAGCATGTCTCTGTGTGGACGGGGATTTCGCGATAGAAGCTTTTCTCTATCTTGGTCGGGAATTTATTAGCTCTCGGTGGTAGCGTGTAAGTTTTTGCCGCAGGGCGACATGACAGTGGAGGAACAAAATCTGGAGTTTTTCGGATCGCGAGACTTCAAAAGAGCGCACGGAGAGCGAGCGAGTATGTAACAGAAACCGAGATGGTCTGTTCTCTTGAGCGTTTGTAGGAAAGCTTATGGAGAAACAATCCACATCCGCTAACCGCAGACTCAACGGCCGGGGGAAACACGGGGATTTTTGGCGTTGCGATGGCGGGTTTTCTGGAAGAAAGCGAAGCCGGAGCATGCTCCACCTCAAAAATTTCTACCCCATTCGGGCAGGTGAACAGGGTAGGCACCCCACTGAACATGCCCATAACCCCGCCTGGGGAGAGGCTAGACAGGGCATTAGGGACAGCTTTCGGTGGGATTTGGCTCTGAACCCCCAATCTTGTGAGCTCCACTGCCTGCTGACCACCAGTTTTGATAGGTACCCTTCAGGCTGTATACCTAGGCTAGACTACCTACCCGGGAGCCTCCCGACATATGTAATTGATGGATGTTTGAGCTGCGTTTCCGATGCATCCGTAGACAATTCGTTTGGACTTTGCGGGGTCGTGTTTTCAGCCCGAATACGGATTTTCTGAATGCTCTTCAATTCGTGATGCGTTCATCTGCTCAAGCGGTACAATTATGACAGTCGAGTCAAAATGAGAAGGCGGAAGACATGAGAATGAGCGGAAACAAAGCACTTACTATAACATCAATATGATTGATAATGGAACAATCGGGTATCGAAGAACGAATACATCATGTAGCATCAGTTGCAGTCTCCTTAACGATTTCACCCTCCCAGACCCATAAACTCCCGTCCAGGGCACCCCGTCTCACCCATGCCGTCACAAGCTCTCTGGGCGTCTCATCGCCATAGAACGATGTTGGCACATCATACAGCTCAACTGTCATCCGTTCCTTCGGATCGAATTCCTTCCAACGCGATGTCTTGACGCCCCTCCACACAAAGGCCGCGTCCAAAAGGGTGATCTTGATATCTCGATCTAGACGTATGTCATCCCGTGGTAATTTGTGAAAATACTCCTCCTTGATGTTGGCTGTCTCGACATTCACTGGGCTAGCGAGGATGACATTCTCAAGTTTCTGCTGCGTGGCGATGTACCACCATAGCCAGTGATTATCAAGTGGTGCCCCAAATATCGTGAGGCGTTTGAGATCCGGCCACAGACCCCAGACATCAGTAGGAGCATCTTGAAGGCTCAGTGCCGGGTATTCGCCAAGGCAGACAAATTCCTCTAGTTTATCAAGCCGTTCGAAACCCTCGCGAAGAGTCCTTCTGACATTCAAGTGGTCATCTAGTGGATCTAAACTCTGGAATGGCATGTGGACAATCAGCCTTCGCAGTGTACCGCATACTTCGCAGAATAGCTCCCGCACCCAAGCTGCTGTGGGTTGGTCGTCCAACTTGTCTTTAAATGGGGCTAGATAGAGCGATGTCATATTCCGCAGGGGCAGTATAGGCGGGAGGCTTGGGACAGAGTGAGGAAGACAGAGCAACAGCTGCGCAAGGCGTCGACTAGTGTCAATGTAGAGGCATCGCTCTCGAAGCAGCCGAGTAGCTAACTTGTATGTATCGCGCGAAACCAGTGTCAGAGAGAGTAATGTCTTTGTCGAAATATGTGACGCTGGGATTAATGCCAGCGGATTCGAAGGCAAGATGGCCTCTATGATATTGTAGAGTAGTTCGGGAGGTAATGAGCGCTGCAAATCTTTGCGCATCTCTAAAGACATGGCTGCCGACTGATGAATGCGGCTGAACTTATGTGTTGAATATGGGAAGAAGTTACTTGCTGAACAGACTTACAGTTCGGAGCTTATTATTAACTTGATGGTTTACATGTCCCTTATCTCTCATCATGACCCTAGATAAGCTCGACTTTACGAACACCAATCAGAAGTTGGCATCTACGACAACCTCACTTACAGCGTCCAGCATAAGGTGCTTGACGCGACAGACTGAATCATAAGGTATTTGGCCTCGATTGAGCGGTTGAACAGTCTCCCTTCTTCGATCGCAGTGGCAGCGACATAGTATATAGTACACGACACTGGCACAACTCTATGAACACGTGAACAGTCATGTATCAATCACATAGTGACCTTCTCATCACAATTCCAAACTCTAACCTTTCTCAACAACAACAACATCATCATCATCATCATCATCAATCTCTTCTTTAGAGTAAACCTGCAATTATTACACTACTAGATCGACAAATCATCCTACAGACGCAATCATGAGTACCCTGAATAACACTCAGGATGCCCCCAGCGCACCAAATTTACGTACACTCCCCAATGAGACAGTCCTGAAAATCCTCACCGAGACCACCCAAAAGAGTGAGTGCTAGATTCACTTACTCACACAGGGTCTATCTGTCTGCGGTGACGACTCCGGTGACTACTACACCGTCATCTACACTCGAGGTCAGCTGGATCGTGGAGGGGTATTTGGACAGGGGCAGATTGAAAGTATCCCCTTTCGACACAAATGTATATACAAAACACCTGTCGTTGACGGTAAGATCGATGTTTTGAACATGAGCTGGAAGTAAGCGCTCGAACAACACCGACTGCTGCATCAGCTTCATGTTTATGATAGATATCTCAACCCTGATCTTGTTGAGTTAATGAGAGCCGTCTGGAGTCGACACAACAACGGAAATCTGGATCTCGGAGCATTTCGCCGTGAGGCCGGAAATCTTCTTGTCCTTGCCGGTAATATCATGGATGATATCCCCTTCGCTATTGATGCTTATGGTGGAATTGAAGGCCCTAACCGCAATGCCTATGTCAAGAAGCTGCATGCAGACGACGATCGTCTCGCGTGCCAACGACGACGCCACGCCATGATTCTAGCTTCTCCCTGGGCATTAGATGACGAACAACTACTCGAAGAAATAAAAGAACATGAGTATCTTATCTCTCAAGTCTCCCATAATATCGATGCTGACATGCACATCGCATTCCATAACGTCTTGTTTCACAGACGAGATGCGGATCGTCTAGCTCTTCTTCAGCTGGACTGGTCCCTGATGACTGGCCTTGAGAGCCTTTGTCTTGATCTTTCAGGGCCCTGGATCGATGGTCCCAACGCGGCACTCAAGTCCTTTTGTGTTGAGCTGGGAAGTCATCTGAAGCTCAAGACACTTGTTGTTCTTGGCCTTCCGGTGCGACAGGAATACTGTAAGTTGGGCAAGGACTTTTGGGCCAAAACTCTCGAGAACCAGGAGTATGTCCCGAGCACTGTCGTCAAGAGCCACTCCGAAGACAGTGACGAGAGCAACGAGAGCAACGAGAGTGACGGAAGTGATGATGATCCTGATGAAGAACTCGTCGGATTCCCAACATACATCTATTGGTTGAAGGACTGTCTTCAGCCCGGCGGCCAGATCCATTTTGTGATGCAGTATGAATCAGAGACGGAGCCGTAATGGTCCTGAAGATTCCATCTTTTTCATCCAAGACGTTGAAGCCCCAGGCGAGACCACCGATGATGAACTCTCATACACATCTCGTACCCGTTGCCCCAATCTCATCGTTTCCCCTATCAGGCCTTGACGCCAAATCATAGTCCGCATTTACCTTTGCCAAGAACCCAGAATTCTTGCGAAAACCCCTTTGTCTATTTGATTTTGATCAGTTAAACAGAACTCAGTTGGCTAGGTAGCTACTTTTGTGCAGATAACATGATAAAGCAAAGATGTATAGCCTCCTGAATACAAGAAAACCTCTGACCAGGGATCAGTACCAAGAAACTAGTCAAGAGGTTCACTACCAAGTCCTTACCTGTATCTCTTTGTTACTTAATGTAGGAAATAGAAGTTTTACATCCCCCAGACACCTTCTGTCAACCCCAAATAAAACGTGAACATGATGTGACAGAGGCGTGAGTCTCTAATGTAGTAAATTGAAAGATATCAAAGAAGGGAATCATGGCCTTTTTCTTCTAGACTACCCTATAAACCGCAAACCAATTCCCAATGCCCATCCTAGCTGCCCATCCGAAAGGCTCCTGAACTCTTGAACTCTACTCCCTTTCTCTACACACACAGCTCATGCGCCAAACAAGTAATAACACCCATCCTTTCCCAGAGTAAAGACTTCCTAAACCTAAGAGGAGTTGGCTCTGTACGAGCACATACAGAGCCACCGAACTTCAACTACTTTCTACCTGCACTCTCATAATTATAGTCAACACTCCACAGAGAATCCCAAACAACCGACTTTTTCGTCGGACTCTCAGCCGAATCCTCCCGTTGCATAGGTTTCCGAGGCTGCCAACTGGCCGTCAGCAACCCATCATTATGGTCCAAGAAGGGTGTCGACGTTTCGTACCTCGTCCGCTTTGGCGCTGCCGCCTTGGTTTGATGACTCGCCAGAAGGAGACTTGCTCGGACTCTCCGTTTGCTCGCTCCTTTGCCCTTCTGCCAGAGCTTTCTGTGCTAGGCTCGCATTGGCTGCCGTGAGAAGCCCCCCGTGTGTAGGGCTTGTGCCGGATGGTGTGTCGGTGGGATGCGCTCGGAGTGAGTTGGTCTCGCTAGCCAAAGCACTATTCTTCAACAAAGCCGTGCCCCCAAGCTGAAACGGCAGGGCTTTCTTGGAGCCCGTACTGCTACGCCTACTCTCAAGACTCTTGGATAAAGTCTTGTTAATACCTTCAATACTAGTGACGCTATCCCGACTCTTACCCTTTCCACCCGTAGCATGAGTGTGAATATTGGCTGTCGCTTCCACGGTATTAGCCGCAACAGTTGACTTGCCCATTCCAGGCGTCGAAGGGGCGCCGGGTTTGTCTTCGAAAGCATCGATCAGATACCACCGTAAACCATCCGACAACTGGAAGGGGTTATCGTTCTCCTCATCGTTGATCGAATCTGTCTCGCTGCTCGGTTGGAGACTCTTTGAAAGGTCGACGATACGCTCTTGGATCCGTGAGATACGGGCAACAAGCCATTCTCGGTGACGAAGGCGATGGGCGTCTTGCTCGCGAAGGAAGTAGTGTGGGAAGCCCACATTGAAAGCGGCCCACGCACCAGCTTGCTGATTGCGTGTGGGGAGAAACAAGGCCAGATCGCCCTCCTTAAAGTGCTTGAAAGCAATCTTCTCGTGTGAATCCTTTTGCAGAACGTGTGCCTTCTCCCTGTAGGATCGGGCTTCCCTCTGCCACTTACGAGCCATGTGCTCTACTTCCTTGATCCTGCGATATACTGTCTCGGAGAAAAGCTCCATGTCAAAGTTGCCAATTTTGTTCATGAAAGATTCGTATTTCTCATTTTCGGCCTGCAGGTCTGAGTTGTTGAGCCAGTATAGGAGTTCGAGATCAGCGCTATCACCCAAGACACGGCTTAGAGTTCCTGACTTGCGTAGGGACGAACCAGGGTCAGAGGAGTCGTTGGGGTTCTGAGCATTTCTTTCGGATCGTGGAATCTTAGTAACGGTCATATCTCCATCTTTCCTGGTAATGGCAAATCCCACGCGCTCCAATAGGCGGCACATACGATCGTTTTGAGAGTAGAGGCGCTGTGTGAGATCCTTAGTCTTCTCGTCTCGGTGCTCATACTGGTTATTCAAGTTAGATATCTTGCCCTGGAGGGACTCCGCTTTCTCTTGGAACATGCGAAGCTCTTCCTCCAGACTACCGACGTGGGATTGTTTGGAGGCCACTTCTTCGGTCAAGGCCATGACCTTTTTCTCTTCTTCCTCCAGTCTCGTCTGCAGAGCTTCGGGTCCAGTTTCGCCATCGCTGAGCTTGGCACGCAACTCAGTGAGTTGCTCTCTACCGTCTGCGAGCTCTTGTTCAAGTGCGGTCACCTTTGCTTTCTCCTCAGCCAATTTCTCACGCAAACGGACGGCTTTCATTTCGCATTCGGATAATTTAGTATCCTTCTCAGCAAGCTGTTCTCGGAGTTCCGCAATGGTTGCCGTAAAGTGTTCAACCTTGGTTTTTAGTATATCAATGTCTGCTTCCGAGTTTCGGGACTTTTCAACGAGCGTTCCGGCTTGTGTAAGTAGCAAATCCGAAAGGTCTACAAAGTTGTCTGGGACAACAGCCATGGGCAGCAGCTCAGTAAACAGTCTTTTCAGGGCCTGCCAATGATCACCTAGAGTCTCCTCAGCAACACTCAATTTTCTCGAGACGTCCTGAGTTTCCTCCTTTGCAGACTGAATCTGTTGTTCAAGGGCCTCTTGCTGTTCTCTTTGAATTCGGGTTTCCTTGCGGAGGAACTCGACTTGCCCTTGAGCTTTGAGGGCATCATCTTGTCGCTGCTTGTTGATTTGCTCCAACTCGGCCTCTAGCTCCTCCACTCGTACAACATATCCGGCTTTCTCGTGCTGCCTTGATTCGTCGAACTGTTCGATTTCGTCTTCAGTATCCTCCAACCGTGCCCTGAGAGTCTTGATTTCGTTCTCTAGGTTCTTGCGCTCTTCGACGAATTCGCGTTCGAGGGCCTCCATATTCTCGAGTAGATCTTGTTTGGTAGTGTTAACTTCCGCAATCTGACCTTTCAAGTCTTCATGCTGGCCCTTCAAGTCTTCGTGCTGACCTTTGATGTTCTCATGATGATCTGATTGCGCTGTGAGTTCTTGCTGGAGTCGACTAGACCGCTGTTTCTCTTCTCGCAATTCGTTTTCTAGCTGAGTGATACGTCGCATCAAGGGGTCAATGCCGTCCGAAGAGCGTCTACGGTCATCAAAGCGGCTCGATCTGATGGATGACCCAGAGTTGCCTCTCTCGCGCTGCTGGGGACCCTGAGGCTGGAATAGATTTCCAGGGCGGCTGGCTTGGCTCTGTCGATGAAGCAAATCCTCTAGACGGCGGACTCGGCTCTCGGCCGTTCTCAATTTGTTTTCTAATTTACCTTTGTCCTCCTGGAGTGACTGTAGTAAATCATCATCGCCTCGAATCATGAGGCCACTTCTGCCAAGGGCCACTTCATGAATACTTCCGTTCTTGAAGGCCTTAAGTCGTTTGGATTGCTGCTTTGTTGGATTGTCAAGCTCTTGTACAAGCTTCAACACATCATCCAACACACTCTGATCAACGGGTTGCTCTTGCAACAACTGCACGAAATCTGTTAAGTCGTCTTTGGTCAAAGCTGGCCATGGTTTGTCTTCCCCAAGCAAATTGACCTCCAGGCCCATGACATTGGTGTCCAGATCTGGACCATACATGCTGCCAATCATTTTTTGCCATTTACGCCGTCGCTTGGACTCTTCATCCTGAAACAATGCCATCTCGTTCGCTAGAGTAGACGAGTCCGTCTTGACTTTATCAACCCATTCGCGCCGTCGAACTGCTTCTGAGACGAAAGCTGCGTACATATAAGGCAGCTGGTGAATGAGACGAAGATAATCAAATGTCGTCATGTCATCTACCGACTGATTCAATACGTTGATTTGACTTTTGACGTTGTTATGAAGAGATGTTATTTCCGTAACGTAACGCATGAATTTCGCTGAATCCGAAGCAATAGAATTCCGCGCGTCTGTTGCATAGTGAAGTAGGTCATCCATCTCTTTGACTCGCTTTTTCAGCGTTGGTACCAAGTGTTCGGTGTGCACTGAAGCCGTCTTGGAAGCTTGCGCTATATCTCGTTGCGTATTGCCATATCCAAGTGCTGCCCGGTAGTCAGAGTCCATCTGCTTCACTACCGCCTCGATATCTTCAAGGAGTTGTGCGGAAGCTGTGCTGTGACCAAGAGCAGACCGGCTCATGAGCTTCTCGAAGTCGGCAATCAGTGATTCCAAGCTTCTATACATCTGAGATGCCGTGTTGTTGAGTTGAGTAGCCTTGTCGCTGAACCTTCGATGAGCTGTCGGGGCAAGTTTTCCCGCCTTCTTTGCGGTATCGAGTTCGATGAGGTCTTCTAAAGTTGGGTTCGACTTCTTGGTCTCTTGTCGAGTCATAAACTTGACCATTAGAGGGGAGATCGGGGTATTTCTGGCCAGATCAAGATATTGCTCCCAATTTTCTACCAAAGTCCCGTGCTCTTCCAGTGCAGGCGTTACCCATTTCTTAAGGTCGTTGTATTTGGGCTCTATGGTCTTGATGCTGATTTCGAGATTCGCAACAGCCGCATCCAAGCACCTGATGACAACATCTATCTCGTCGTACAGCGCAACAGTTGTTGTGTTCATCTGCCCGCAGTCCTCAACCAGATGCATTGCCCAACTTCGACGCTCCTTGTATAGCTCTTGCCATGATGATATTGACTGTACATCATCGATCGTGTTCGGCGCACTCGGGATGATGTACTGCTTCGGAGCTGGAACTGGGACTATGAGGTTCGCATTCCCTGGGGAACTTATTCGGATATCGTATATGAACATCTCTTTCTGGGCTATGGTCAGAAAAGGCTTATCTCTTACTAAGTAACCAACCTCTGTATGCAGGCTTGTGGATTTGACCGTACGGCCTTGAGGAGTCAAG